TAGGGCTGGTCTTGAACTCACTATGTAGCCCAGGTTGGCCTCAAACTTGGAAGGATCCTCCTGCCTCAGCCTCCCAAATGCTGGGATCACAGATGTGCACTGCCATGGCTGGTATAGGCAGTCTAATTCTTGAAACACTAAAATCCTCAGTTTACGGAGAAGGAAACAGAACAAAATTTTCTGTTTTCCATCTTAATGAAGGAAACCAAGCAAAACAGAAGGAAGAAATGATCTCCCCACCCTGAAAAGCCACAGGAAGTACTTGTCATCTTTAAAGTGCTCGTGGAAAGCAAGGCACTTTCAGGCGCCAGGGCACAGACCCAAAGGTGGCGTTTGGATTCCGCGTGCGTCTATGCTAATTCTGTCTCTCCAGCCTATTATTCAGGCCTTCGCAGGACAGATGTGCCGTTTTACGGGGCCATAATCCACTCGGTGGGTGGATAACCAAGAGGCCTTGGTCGTCCTCATTTACTCCAGTAAGAAGACCAGACGATAGCCCTGTAAAGCAGCATGGGACCCACGCCCTGATTCCTGCAGAGTGCAGCCTTGGAACCGCACACCAAATTCATAAAATCCGCCCACCTCCCCCGGCTTGGAGAAATGCCTCAGTTAGGCTCAGGCTGAACTAAACGCCCAGAGGCCAGAGTGGGCGTGTGAATGGGGTGGCGAGAGCGTGGGGAGGTTCCTCGGAGGCCAGGGTTGCAGGCTACACAGGTGTTCATGGGAAAGCACAACGGGAGAAAATTCTAATTAAGTCTTGATGGAAAGCTGCGTGCTACGGTCCTCGCGAAGAATGCCTTGGCAGGTCTTTGTTTTTTACCTCCACCTCTGTGTGCACAACCCTAACCGACCTTCTTGTGGCTCGAGGTGGCCCAGCGCGGGGTCCCGGAAGTCCTGAGTAAGGGCAGCACTGGCTTCGGAGGGCCGCCCTGTGCAGCTGAGACCTAGGAAGGGCTGAGCCCTGCAGGGTTAGGACGCGGCTCTCCAAGACACCTGCTCCCGTGCCAACAGGTAGACAGGAGAGTAGAGATGAGGGGCTGTGACTGGTACAGCGAAAGAAGGAATGAAAAGCACACCTGTAATCCCAGCGCTTGGGAGGCCGAGGCAGGAGGATCGCTGTGAGTTTGAGGCTAGCCTGGGCTTGCATTCAAGCCCAACATGAACTATATAGTGAGATCCTGTCTCAAAAAAAAAAAAAAAAAGTAATGAAAAGAACATAAGTAACAGGATAGTAACTTTGGATTCTGAGTCACTGTCTGTCCATTTAATTTTTCTTTTTCTAATAGACTAAAGAAGCCCCCTTGTTATCTTAACACAAAGGTCTCTGATGCAGGCTTGCAGCATTGAGATCCAAGCATTAGCTGGAATATTAGCTGTGGCTCCAACTCTTTTTTTTTTTTGCCCTGGGGATTGAACCCAGGGCCCTTGCACTGAGCTACACCCCCAGCCCCTTTTTATTTTTTTATTTTGAGACAGAGTCACAATAAGTTGCTAAGTTGCCGAGGCTAGACTTGAACTTATGAATCATCCTGTCTCAGCCTCCCAGAGTGCTGGGATTATAGCTCCAACTTTTCCTAGTCACATAACCTTGGAAGATCCCTTACCTACTTTGGACCTCAATTTTCTAATGCAGAACAGGGCTTAGGTCACATGACACATAGAATAAGTATTTGTAAAAGAGGAAACAAATGAACCTGCAAAATGAGAATATAACAGGGACCTCAGAGATGCCTTCTGGTCCCAACCCGCACCAGAACTATGATTTGTTTGCCAGGGAATAATGTCTGTGGTCTTTCTGCCTCTCTTTCGTAAGTGTGGCCTGTGGGCTCGTGATCATTACCCCGTACAATCTTAGCTTGCATGTGCTTAGCACCCTAAGTAACGCCTCTCGGTTATGTTAGTTCAAGGAGGGTGCCTTGCGCATTAACCTGAGAATACAGTTTTCTAAAATGATAATTAGTTACCAGAGCATAGTACTGCTTTTAAAGTCCAATGCAATATTTCAAAAGCCATATAATGAACTATTTAAATTTTCCTTCCACGGTTGTTTTCTGCTTGACTTCAACAGTTCAATGAATAGTTTTCCATATTTTGCATCTGATGTATTTTTCTTCCGCCTTAAAATGCTGAAGGCTTTTTTTTTTTTTTTTTTAATTCCCCTCCTCCTTAGGAGGAAGAAAGAAATCTTTCCCCTGCAATTTTCTTTGGCTCTCTCCAAAGTTGGGCAGGAAAGTCAGTGTAATTCAGGTAGAATCTAAAAATGTTCTTGTTGTACAAGGGTGTGCGGAAAGGAAGCCTATAATTTCCGAGCATTCTCGCAGGAAGTTTGTATTCTCTGTTTTGCAGGGAGCCTTTACTTTCCAAGGGAGTATGATCGACATGCCGTTACTGAAGCAGGCCCAGAACATTGTTACGCTTGCCACATCCATCAAGGAAAAATCATCTGTTAAATGAGGCGCTCATCAGGTGGGCTAACATATAGAGCGGATTTCTTAAGGCCAAACTGTACACTCAGGCGTGCCGGCCTGGGGCCCGCTGCATTTACGGGGCAGTTGTTGTTGTTGTTGTTATTGTTCTTCTTGCTGTTGTTGTCTTATTGGCCAAGTGATTCCTCTAAAAATGAGCTTTCTTCCTTTGCCACCCCTTAAGCTTATTATGATCTTGTAGTTTCCTAATGTGTTGCAAACATGGACTTAGGATTTCACTGGGAGAGAAAATCATGGAAGGAGATGGACGTGGGCGGAAGTTAGCTGTTCCGTGAGACAGATCTTTGTCGAATCCTATACTCCCTCTTGGAGTATGTGCTTGCCACATTATTCATCCGTACAGCTGACATCACAGATAATTTTAAGGCCAGGCTTTTTAAAAAATAAGGGTAAAATCCGGGGGTTTTGTGTATTTCACTAGCAATCCTATAAAACAGAGATGCCACGGGAAACATTATGGAGTATTATATAGGCTTGTAAAGCTACCGTCTAAAAATAAACTTCCAAAACTTATTCCTGTTAACCTCCATCCCCCAACTGCACCATCCCTACCCTCCAGCTGCTGGACGGTGAGGCCGAAAGAGCTCATGGGGTGAATGCTTTGGGTCAACAGTTACCGGCAATTAAAAAATAAATGTGCGGGAACACAAGACCATCCTTTCTCCCTTTTCTTTTCCCACTTTAACTGTTCGCCATTGAGGCCATTTCCCCTGTAAATGCATGGGGGGGACAGGGCTCCCTCGGCCATAAACTTGTGGTGTCTCCGAGGACACAAAGCCAGGGCACCAGGCTGGTGCGTATGGCCCCCTGCGAGATTTGCATCACATTAGAGATGCTGCTACAGGTCAGATGGGTGGTGTGGTTAACGGGCTTAGTAAAGCTGTTTTGAAGAGGTTAACCCAGCTTGTAGTAAGGGTAAATAAACATAACAACCGGCCTTTGTTCCCTATTCAGCACGTACTCTTATATTGAAGGCTAAAGGGTATTGAAGCCGCAGAGGATCAGCTTGTGCGTGCCAGAGGACGCCAATGAAGTTTGAAACACCAACAATCAGAGATTTTGTTTCTGTTCCTCATTAAATCATGAGCTTTTGTGTAGAGACTCTGGACGACTGTTCTTTAAGAAATTAACAGAATGGGAAGTTTTAAACTCTACACCAACCTTTTCACGACCTACACAGCAGCGACCTGCTACTCTTAGACAAACACCGCGGGGAAGGCTGTTCTGTTTATTTAAATTTGTAAATAGAAAACAGTTGTGCCTTCAGTTTCATTTTTCACCTCCTCCTACGCCCTCTTGGTGTGTTCCCTTCGTGGCCTCGAGCGTGGGCCCAACCGGGTCCTTCCTCTGGGTCCCACAAGAACCCCCCAGAGAGGTGAGCAGAGCGAAGGCCTGTCACGAGCGACGACATCATGACACCAAGACCAAGCAGGGAGAGGTCACCACTTGGTCTGGGGCGGGCAGGAAGGGGAACTCCCATCCAGGGACTCCTGAAGGAACTTACGCGGGCAACACATATTCTTGAGACACCAACTGATATTCCCAAATAGGGGATTCAAGGAGACAGCTCCTCAGCTTTGTGCAGCCTTTCCTGTGCAGCCTCCCCACCCCCTGAGGCATCGTCCCCTCCACCTGGGTCGTCCTGTGCTTCCCCAGAGTTTCCGGAAAGGCAGGTGGTAGCCGCACCACTCCCACTCCTCCAGGAGTGGCAGGCACCTCGACAACCTCAGAGGTGACCAGCGTCCAGCCAAGCCACGACCCTGGACTGCAGCCCAGGCCTCGGGGAGCTGCGGGGATGGAGACGGGCAGTCCTGGCCAGTGCATCTCTGCGCAGGGCGAGGAACAGGAGTGCCCAGAGCAGGAGGAAGGTCAGACACCCGCCAAGAGGGGTCACGGGCAGCCTCTGGCGTGAGGAGGAAAGGGTACACATTCTGGTCTCCACCCCAGCGATGCAGGTAGCCCCCAGCCCCACACAGGTGGCCTCCTCAAGCCAGGGCCCCCCACCTTCAGGGCTGGTCCCACAGGAAGCCCGAAAGCGGAAGGAAGAGGGTGTTGGGGTCATAGGAAAAGCAACGTGGCCTCCTGCCCCTCACTCCCCATCAAGTTAGACAGCTCGCTGCGCGCCGCTCCCAAACGACTTGGTTCAGACAAAGCCACCTCACTAAGTTTCCCCAGCATCAGCCCCATCTTCCTGGTAACCAGCCGTCCCCACTGTGGTAGGACCATGAGACTGAGACCGCGGTGCTGTTCTCAGAGCGGAGACCCTACCCACGGTCCCGGAAGAGTCACTCACAGCCACAGCCCCCAAGCACCTCAGGCCTGGACACACAGAGCTCCGAGACAGAAAGTGCTGGGACAGGAAGCTGCCCCTCTGCGTCCAGGTACTTCGGGTGGCAAGGAAGGAGGGCTGGCGAGGGGACCGTCCTCTGCATATGGGCACTGCTGACCTGGGACAGGACTCCTGCCCGTGGCCTCCCAGCTAGACAGGGCGCGCAGGAAGAGGCCCTCGCAGCTAATCAGATTAATTAAAAACCATACCTGTTTATGGTTTACGTTGCTCATCGCAAGCTGCCTCTCCAGATCACCCCCTTGTTATTAATTCTTGGAGGCTAAATTATGGGTAACACTATTAAAACATTATCAGAACTAATGAGAAACAATTACTTAGAAAATGAGCCAGGACAAGATTGAGTTGAGAACATCAGGGTCATCACCATAGATTAGTTTAATAAATCATCAGGGGCAAGGCAAGATGGACTGTATGGATGCAGAGCCCCGTCACGGGAAAATGAAATTGGGATTTTTTTTTTTTTGCATAATTTTTTCATTAATCTCAATAGGACCCGTGTGGTGTAGATTGCTTTATTCCCCTAATACCTTTGGGGGGGAGTGGGGAGGCCCAATAATGTCTTCATTGTTTTACTGAGGTCTTAATGACAGTCTGTGACAACCTCATTTTAATGTATAGCGGATTCTATCGATACAGTCATGTTTTATTGAAAGGGAGAGCGGGACTCCAGTCGCATGGGGCACCGTCCACAGAGCACAAGCCGGGAGTTTCTGGGGGCCCGGGAGCTTCCTTTCTGATGTCCACGTGCACCCGCCGTCCTCCCCTCCTGTCACCTGGGGACAGGCTGGGGACACCGGGGTCCTGCCAAATGAAGACCTCACCACCCGGGATTATGCACTTGAAGGTTGCTGCTTGCCCGGCATGTTCTGCTGGGTCAGTAGGACAACTGTGTGGCTGTCGCCCCGTCCCTAAAATAGACGTGCCATTATTATCACGGACACCTCTGTCCCCGACAGTTTTGCTGGAGTTCGGGGAAGCTTGACTTTACACTTTGGGGACTTCGAGGGTTTTTATTTGAAAGACATTCTGCCTTTAGAAATCCCATTTACCACGCAACCTAAATCTCCCGTTATTTTTCTCTCCTCCAGTACTAGGAAAGTAAGGGATGGCACAAAACCGGTTATAAAATTTCCACTAAGACCTTTGCATATGAATGCTGGCGAGGCCAGGGACCTCAGACGGGTCGGCGACGACGGCAGAGTCTGTGCCGCCCCGGCTGGGGAACCGCGACGTCGGCGCAGAGCCACCGGCCCTCTCCCCGCCCGGCTTCTTGCGGCAACGGGGAACGCAGTGACCTGACCCCACGTTTAAACGTCGAAGCCTTAGTGTGAGCCTGAGTCTTCCTCTCCGCGCTATTTTAAGCGTGGCCGGGACAGGAGTGGCTAAAAGAAGCGCGCCGCACACGCAGAGCGAGTTCGCCCCTGCGGGCCGGCGCGGGGCCCGGCAGCTTTTCGCTGCTCGCAGACGGGTGTTTCCCGTCGTCCTTGTTGTTGGTTTGTTTAAATCCCGCTAGTTATTCGGCAGCGCGCACCTTGCAGAAAAGCCGCCCGCGGGAAGAACTGAGGTCTCCCCAGCGCCTTGGGCTGCGCTGCGACCCGGCAGTGTTGGTGTGGAAAGGTTGCCGGGCCCGGGGATCTGCGGCCGCCCCTTTCAGAGTTTCCCCCATTCTGAAGGATCGCCTGGGTTTTCTCTCGCTGCTCCCCCGGGAGAGGCCCGGCCAGGCGGAGCCCGCGCGCGGCCTGGGGACCTGGGGACCCGGGGACCCGGGGGCCCGGGGCCGG